GCTTATCCACTTGGGCAGTTGGGATTAAACCCTGACTGAATGCAATCTTTGCAACAGCTTCCGACACATCACTCCATTTCTGTTCTATGGTTAGCCAAAAGAGGAAATTGTTCACACGTTGTAGTCTTACGAATTGGGCTCCGGCGACGAAGTAGTATCCGTTTTGGCCCCAATCAGCTTTTCCACCATTGGGCTTCACAGCTTCCTCGACCAAAAGAATGAAAGCAGATGCAATATCATCGATGTTGGTTTCTGGAAAATTGTCAGCGACATCAAAAAGGGGTTGAAATAGGTGACTGACGGTCCCAGATGTTTTGGCCCTCAAGAATTTGGAAACCCTTCCCACGCTTCAGAGTCGACTCAATGAGAAATGGAATTTGGATGCTTCTGGTCTTCAATGGACCTCTCCCAACACCGTGAATCATTGGTGGTGAGACGATGGCAGTAGGGACGGAGAACTTCTTCTGAGCTTTCAGAATCGCCATGTCAACATCTCTATGAACGTGGTTCTCAAGCGGGAAAGATGTGATTTCCTTCAGGTCTGTGATATCGGAATACACTTTGGTGGATGGTTGACCTGTCTGGATTAGTTGAAAGTTCAACTACGATGGGGCAGGACTCACCGAATCCATTAGGGACTTCGTTGAGCATCCCTGTGCCAGCGACATGGATGAAGTATCCAGGAGTTGGTTGTCTCTGGCTCAGACCCTTGATGAGAGCCTGGACACCTGGGATGTGATCTGCAGAAGCGGTTTCTAATCTGGCATCAGCACCAATCAAGACAATGATTGTGGGCTAGTGCGTACGGAGGACAACATCTGCCTTAGAACCCTCCAAGATCATCAATTTCTTGTTACCCAAGTCTCCAATGACAGTCTCGATCATTGGCCAACGAGCGCGAATAATTGCGTTCTGCTCTTCATTTCGTACGAGAGCAACGAAATTCCATTCTGGATGTTTCTCGATCAAACGCACGACAGTGTGGCCACCAACGTACCCAGACACACCGGTCACGAAGATTCTTGGCGAGGAAGTCATGACTGGAGATTGTTGCTTGTGGGAGACGGAAACCTTTATTGCTGTCTTTATTGATTGAGTGATAGATGGCATGAATGGGACGAGATTGTAAATGGATTGATATTATGAATCTATTGATACTTTGAATGAATTGATATTTTGAATGGATTGATATTGTAAAGTTGTGTTTGAGCTGATACCTCATTTCAGTGCGCTCATCCTCATGTATATCCTCAATTCGGAAGCCGTCATTGCTGAAGACATCTGAGTCGTTAGTCACCACGCATCCTGCAAAGCGCCTCGTACTGTATTTCTCAGCAGCAGCGATCGACATGATATTCTTTGGTCTCCCGTCGATATGAAGTTATTCCCAACGCCAAGAGTTATAAGTCCTCAAAGCGGTATGGCCTATCGGCACCTCGCCGCTGACAGCGAGTTCTCGCCGAAGCTAGCGAGCGCATGGCTGAGTCAGTTTGTGACATTGCTCGCTTCGCGATCAACAACACATCATTTCTGTACGCATGAAAATGCTGATGGATTATTCAGCGCATATGTACAATCTTTTAAACCTAGTCAGGATACGCTGCATGATGGTGGCGATATTGGATCAAATTATATATACTGATATCTGGGACTCGGATAATGCCTCCACCTAGCAGTCCCGAGACATCCCTCAGTAAATTCAGTCACTGTCAAATTCGAAAAGTCTTCACAATCGCGAACCATCAGCTTCCTTTCACAAAAGCTGAGAAATCACCACCACCAATTTGATTTGCAATTCCAATTGCTCTCAAGATGCATAAGCAAGCCAACCCTCTCGAGAATGTGCCGGCCGAGAATGTAAATGATCTTCTCTCCGTCCAGGGTACCAACTGACAGAAATAGATCACATATTTCACACCAAGGCAAATCATCCCAGCGGGTACCGCCATAGTGCATTCTGACAGTAAATCTCCAAAACCCAAAGTTTTCCAACCCCTCCAACTCCGTGGCCTCACTCTTCAGAATCGAATCATAGTCTCCCCAATGTGCCAATACTCGGCTGAAGACGGTCATCATACCATGTGGCAACAAACTCATCTCGGCGGTATCATTCAAAGAGGTCCAGGTTTGACCATCGTTGAAGCCACTGCTGTGACGCCTGAAGGTCGCATTACTCCTCAAGACTCTGGACTGTGGAAAGATAGTCAGATCGAGCCTCTAAGAAAGACTGTTGAATTCGCGCATAGTCAAGGCCAGAATATTGCGATTCAGTTGGGGCATGCTGGGAGAAAGGCAAGCACGGTCGCGCCCTGGATTAGTAGAAAAGCCGTGGCTACGACGGATGTATGTCACGTGATTCACTCTGCTCTATGAAAATCCAAGAACCAGCTTGAACTAAAGGTTAAATAGGTTGGCGGATGGCCTGATAATGTCATCAGTGCGAGCGATGTTCCATTTGATGCTCCCCATACCTGCGTTCCAAAATGCATGACTCTAGACGACATCCTCAACTTCAAGGAATCCTTCATAGCTTCAGTAAAGCGAGCTCTTGTCGCAGGTTTTGATGTAGGTTTGTAGCTTCCCCTTTAAGCTACAATACTGAATCTTCCGTGATTTAGGCAATCGAAATACACGCTGCACATGGCTACCTCCTACACTCGACTCTCTCAGCAGTCACCAACACGCTTCCGCTGCCATACTCAGGTTCTCTCGAGAACAGAATGCGTCTCCTACTCGAGGTCACCAGTGAAACCCGAGCCATCCTTCCCTCTACTATGCCTCTTCTTGTGCGCATTCCAGGTACGGATTGGATGCCAGCCGAATCAAACTGCTGGGAGATCAACCAGGCCATCGCTCTCTCCCTGGCTTTATCACGAGCCGGCGTTGATTTCCTCGATGTTTCAACCGCAGCACTCATGTCTGAGCAGAAAGTCATTAGTGGACCTGGATATCAAGTACCATTTGCGGCAGCTATCAAAGAAGCGCTTGAGAAAGAGGGATTAGGTGAACTGACGAAGGTTGGAACCGTGGGTATGATTACTAGTGGTGTGCAGGCAGAAGAAATCTTGAGTGCAGGAAAGGCAGATGCTGTCTTAGTTGCAAGAACTTTCTTGAAGAGTCCAGGCATGGTGTTGGATTGGGCTGGAGAACTTGGGGTGGATGTCAGGATGGCCGAGCAATTTGGCTGGGGGTATGGGCAGCGGGGAGAAGGGGGTGTGAAGCCTGGTGTTGCAGCTGCGGCTAGAGGGTAATAAACGGGGTCTACTGAAAATAGAAATTGGGAGTCTTTTCCTTGATTCTTGAATCACTGAGACTGCATGAGTGTTGTTGTCACTGTGCCAAGAATTTCTGAACAGAGCTTTGTTAAACTGTACTGTGGTGTTATCTTAAGAATTTTATACTGACCACGATGCCCAAACAGTGCACTTTCGTGGTTTGATCTTCATAGAGACAGCCTTCTGGTGTTTCATCAAATAATCCTGTGTGTGATAAAACTCCATTAGTAATGACCAGCGAATGTCTATTCCACTAGCTCCAGGACTTTATCCTTTCGCAACCTTGTAAGGGTGACCCATATTCCCCATCGGCTCCTTAGTCCAACGTCTCAAGATCTTCTTGGATGCGATACAGCCGATTTCCAACATTGTACTCGACCAGTGTCGCCAATATCCTGCTATCGGGATATCCAACACTGTATTCCAAATAGATATTATGGAGAGTTCTCATCAGCATCGCCTCGTACCCGACCTCGTAGTCATGCTCTTCCTCGTTCATTAGATTGTACATGTAGACTATCTCCTCTGCCGTGAACACTGGATTGCTGGATGTAACCCATTTGACCACGACCCAGTCCCCAGGCATTAGCTCCGTGACCAAGCCCCATTTAACCTCGAAGCTTCCTCTTTGAATATCGTCGTTTGCCCGGTCTGCCAGGGTCCAGCTCAGAGTATAAAAGGTACTTGCTCTATGTTGGTCTGGTTTTGCGAGGAGTGTCGACTGTGGAGTGAGGACTTTTGGGATTTGGACGATAGTATCCTTCTGCGGATTTACCCGTAAATTGATCGTAATTTTAGGCATTTGGTCGTATGGGATGGAAATGTAGCGAGTGGTTCCTTTGTCACTGGTCTCGTGGTTTCACGCGTCTCTCTTCATTGATATTTGATGATTTCTTCAGAATGAAATGATGGAATAACCTGTTGATGTTTGGTTTGAAGAGTTGCAAACTCACTTCTACCATTTGGTGGATGTGGCGATCGCCTGTCCCAGAGACGAGGAAGGAGCGAAGCCTTGTGCTGAGTTCGAGAGGAGCAATGATTTTCTTCTTTGGCTTACGAAACACGAGAGCACAATTGGACTACAGAGGCTGTTTTGACCAGATTTTCGTGCTTGCCAAGTAGAAATATGGGGAATGGATCATCGTGTTATTGACTTTTCGCGTATATTTCTCGACGCTAAATACAGACATTATTCTCTACTCCAACTCAATCCTCGATTTTTGGTAGAGGCAAGCCAAATCTGTCCTCATTTACTCGTCGTCGAGCCTTGGGTACATTATCCAACCAAACGACACCAGACACACTCCTCCCAGGCCCAAATTCATTATCTTGAAATGGCACGACCGTCGTTCAGGAAGCAAACCTAGACTTGATAGAAACTGGATCGAGGTTTATTCTACACACTTCTACGTCGCCCCAGCTGTTCTCTAAATCCTTGAAGTCGATGTATGTGTTTCCGTTTAGCCGGGTACCTGATGTGGTACAATGTATGGCACTAGGCCAAAGTGAAGCCACGGCCTCGTTCTTTCCCAAACTGGCACAGCGATCCCTCGCATATATCTTCTCAATCTCGGAACGCAAAAAAGTGGTTCCCCTCATCGTGAGTACAATCCTATCTTCAATGATGCCGTAAACTCGTAGGCTCTCGGGGATACCTTTGGGGTTCTTGGAAGAATTGATCCCTCGCAGCAATAGGAGAGATCAGCGCCAAAAAAGGTATTTGAGCGGTACCTGCAAGATTCGAACTCGCGCTCCCGAAGGAACCTGGACACTACATCACCCTTCAACCAGGCACAATAGCCACTCTGCCAAGGTACCCTTGATTGCTTGCTGCTGCCGTTGTCGCGAAATTGTGGCAAGCGCGTCGTCCAGCTTGGAAAGGAAGGGGTGTTGGAGCCACGAGCCCAGTTTGGGGCTGGTTGTGAGAAGTTATCCTACCGACTGAGTGGCCCGAAACAACCACATCTCGTTCAAATGTCGTCGAAGAACGTGAGGCCGCCCAGATTGAGAGCTTCCAGGGTTTTATCTGCTCGTCGAATCTTTACAGATCTCCACAATGCGTTTCTCGAGGTCGTGTCGGGAAGTGGCTCGAAAGCTATGCTCCGAAAGTATTCCAAGGTCTGAACAGACTTCTTCAATGATGGATGTAGATCATAACGACACAGCAATAGCAGGGCTCGCAGCGTGTAGTTTGCATCATTCCCAGCATTGTGCATTTCTTTAACTGGCAGTCCAAGAAGACTCAGCAAAGAACGAAGACTGAAATATAACCCTAGTACCTCCATAGATAGATACGTTGTGTCCAGTAACCCAACTACATTTGCCAAATCCGCCAAAATCAGAATCCGTTTCCTACATGTGGCGAGATCGGAAGCTATCCCATGAGCAAGAAGAATGACGTCGCGAAACTTCCCTGGTGTTTTTTCGTCTGGGATAAGCAAAATATTTCGCAAAACATCATTGACATGGTCTTGACTGCTGATGTGTTCCGAGATCCCGAAATGATACTTTTTTCGGATATGGTCGAATCTTCTCTGTCCTCCCACGATGAAGTGTCGTGTGGCGAAATGATGGTGATCTGCTGGGTATGGCTGAAGAAGACATCGGGTGTCGAAGTACGAGACGCCGATTTGTGATATAGCATACCACTGGTCAATGCTGGGCCGATTCTTATTCACCTCTAAATCGAGTGACACCAGTATAACATCTCGAGGTTCCTGTTGTTCAAGACCGAAGATCTCAATTATTTGCTCTAGAGGAGTTCTGGGTATACGAAGGCGATGCATTGTATTGGTCATATGATCTCTCTTTTGGGGGAGTCTTGAAGGTGACGGTTGTATGCAGGATGAGACCAAAGTATGATTCGATGCGATGATAGTCGTAATCGATTTGGTCTGACTGTCGAGAATATGAAGCAACGATGTAATAAATTGAGTCGAGAATTTTGGAACAGGAATCTGTCGAGGAAGATAAGTTGAATTTAATCGAATCAAGAGTGGAGATTGGTGCCTTTGGACGCGGGATGTAGTTGGCACTCCAAAGTAAAAACGATTCACCTTTAGCTTGTAACCGTCCCTATTCTCATGTCTGATACCCTAAGTCCGGCCCAAGCCTAACCATAATCCACAGATCCGAGGCGGTGCAAGGGTGTGCGTCTTCAGCGAAGGTGGACTTGATATGAGCAAGATCACCGTTCAAGGTCACAAGTCCATACTTAAGTCACGGAGTCATCGCTGGATATTGGCTGATAAGTCTTTTCACCTCCCTTAACATTTTAAGCACAATCCTCAAGTGCTACTCTAGGACGTTACGGTGACTACTTCAAGGTTAATTGCTTCGCCCGACATATTTTAGCTTGCCATGATCATCGCTTCCAAAGAACGGCCAATTGTGAAAGTTCCTACTTCCTGTACCATAAGCCTTGACCCATCACTAATAAGAAACTGTATTCTGCTTGTCTGCCAAGGATTCCTGTTTCCCACACCTGAGGTACATCTTCGAGCTTCCGTCAAAGATGTGTCATCTATATTGACACTACTCTAATCTACTCGAGAAAATCAATCCCTTTCCTTTGTATATGGCTTTACCAAGAATGTTCAATTACGGTCTTCTGTACGACCCCTTTTCCCTCGGCAGTCGTCTAACTTTCCTCTACACGTCAACCTTTTCCTGCACATCTTTGGACTCGATATCCCAAGTTTTCCCCTCCTGTATTTGACCTTAGCGCAGGTCCATACCTTTCTCGCTTTTTCTACCGCTCTGTTATCGTTGTTAGTCGTGCGTGTGCACTTTTCACAATGGCGTTGCCGTTGTGTTGAGCTCGGTTATGCAAATAGTTACAACCCCCGAAAAATGGAGTCGATTAGAACTAGTTATTCAAATATGGACATAGTACATAGTACATAGTACAAGAAGGGTTATGCAGGGAATTAGGGAGATTCAAAAGAGAATAGACTTTGTGAGAGTCTGATGGCAGGATTCTCCCTCGTCCACTGTCCCATACCCTGCCCAAAGAATGAGCGCAATAGTGATCGGCTAATGCAAGCCTCCGAAGTAAGATAGTTAATCTGCGGTTGCCTTGTAGTCATCTGATGCTATGTCACCATAGTTCCGACTTTTGCGTTACACGTAAGAATGATAGATTTGCAAGATTGTACACCAGTCTACTCGGAGTTGTCTGCTGCCACATCACGCAAGTGATCAAACCTGAGACTAAAATTGGGGTGAGTGTAGGCAAGGCGCATTCCGCATGCCAGTGTGCCAAATCATCAATGGTTTCTAAGTTCTGATTTTAGATATTAGCTTCCGACGTCTGGTGGTCGTGTATCAAGAACAGGTTGGGAGGAGGGCCTTAGTCAGTGCCAGGATGACACTTGTTAAGGAGGGGTGAGGGGAAAAATTTGATCAAATTTGATTGACATGATTATTCACCTGAGAATCTGCAATCAAACTTCCAAAAAAAAAAAAAAAAAAAAAAAAAAAGTCGAGCTGCCACTGCAGTAAATCACCCTTCAAGTAGAAACCAATATCAGCAAGGACAACTTTCCATTTTATTGACTCTAGTAAGCTCGCCATTCCCTTTCAACGTAAATTGATTGCCTAGTTGACGTAGTCACTTGGTTCAAAGGCGCTTGCTCTATTCGATTTCCATGCGAAGCAAGCTGCATGTATGTCACAAGGTGTATCAACCAAACTAGGAAGCAAATAAAAGTGCCCACAAACGAGCAGATCTTTGCTTGAGAGACACACTCTAACACCCTCCAAAGAGATGCTATAAAGCTATTCACTTCGCTATATATATCGAACACTTTGCAATCATTTATTCCAAGCTGTGGAAGGTCAGAACGCGCAGAGCAGCTTCCACGCACCGATGGAGGAGGCATCAAAAAGGGTTAAGTCGTAAGACGTGGAAGCAATTGGTTCAAGGATCCGAGCCTACAGATAGTAGACGTTGCTAAGTATGAGTTCAATTTTGTCTCAAATCAATCGCGGAATTTAATATATTGATTCTCTCGAGCACTCGATGGCGGGATATTCATCAGCGCCCTTCTCGGCGTCTCGCTTATTTCCAGAATGAAAACACTTGCCCAACATATCTCATCAAGGGAAGTCCAGACGCAGAGGAATACTAGAATGTGTAGAGAAATAGATGCTCTATATATAGAAGCAGATAGTTCATACGAATAATTCATACTCTGGGAGTGTTACTCAGGAGCTATCGGGACTTTCAAAGTTGCTATGAATATAGTATAAAGACATCTTGGCAAAAAGAATCACAAGATAAGACGTAGATGATTTAGTATTCACTAAAGGTCGCATGAGGATATTAGCTATGCCGCTATAGTATCAATATGTATCTGACTCTTTACGACAGAGCTAGCTAAGCGAGAGTTGCGAATGGCTTCAATGGCTACTAGCGTAAGGTGAATACGCAGTCATCTACAGAGGCTGCGCGACAGTTTCGAGATCTATTTATTTGGACCTCTTCTATCTTTGGGATAAAGTTTATCGACTCGAAACAATTCGACAACCCAGTCTCTTTTCCTACCACCGAAATCAACAATATACAAAGAACAATAAACAAAATGTTTAGGGGTCAACAACCAGCTCGCGGGTTCCAGGGACGTGCGGGTCGAGGAGGGCGATATGCACCACCTCCAAGACCACCTCCAAGACCACCTCCAGGAGCATTTCCAGGACAAATACAAGGATTAGCTCCCCCTGCGCGACAAATGCCACGCCCAGCACGACGTCAAAACACGCGCAGTCCAATGTCGCTGAACGAGAAGAGAACTCAGATCTTGCAGCTCTGCATGGGAGCAATGCTATGGTTACCGTATATGGAGCCAAGCTCGGCGTCGATATTTTGTGTCCGACCTGGTCACTGTGGAGCTGGATTGATTCGACCCGAAGCATTCGCTCATCCTGTCGTCGTCCTTGGAATAAGGCAACGACCCGGATCTACCATTTGGGGAGATGTCCTAGTCCGTGTCTGCGATGTACGTATCCCAATCGACTTCCAAACTGGAAGTTGCCTTGTCGTTCTGACTAACAAATCTTGCGACTAGGTCACAACTTTCCAAACCACGCCCCTGTTCGGTGATCGAAGCCATCAAGCGAATCAACACTTGATAAAGTTCAACGAGTCAATCCCCATCCAGCAGCATGACTCGCCCTGGGGATATGATCCAAACTGGCTCCAGCTAGGCATGGGGAATATCATCGGTCAGAGTTATGTCCGGGCGCAGCACGTCTGGGAGATCTCCATAGATGTGTTATGGAACTACTACTGGAGTAATTCGACGGCTTGGAGTGTAAGGCTCAACGAAGATTCGTACTATCGGTTGATGGCACATTTGGGACTTGAGCCCCAACCATACGAGTCCATGACCGAGCTCCCAGTCCTTGGCCCAAGGAGACTCAATGATTTCTCTCTCCTGTATGCTCCAAACCCAGTGTACAACCAGCCTGGGCTTGGAACCAACCTTGGTTCGGTAACAATCCACAAGGCGCCTACAATGGTGGCAGCCAACAAGTTGATGGGTTCAACAGAGGCGGATTGAATGATGGTGGAACTAATAGAGGAGGACTAGACAATCGCGGCAACGGAGGCCAGACGCAAAAAGGGGGAGGACAACCTGGAGGCATCAATATAGCTTGGACATCAAATTTTTGGAGAAGTGATGGAGGAACCTACAACACCATTTCCAATATACCAACACAAGGTACAACAAGGTACACAACCCACTCCCGACAACCCAGAGCGGCGCCTTAGCCTCTTAAGAGCACAGGCGCAGGCTTTTACTCCGAGTTAGTAG